GAACATGTTCATGTTCGGCAAACATGTTCATGTTCGGGCAGTAAACATGTTCATTTTCGGTAGGTGAACATGTTCATGTTCGGTAGGCGAACATGTTCATGTTCGGTAGGCGAACATGTTCATGTTCGGTAGGTGAACATGTTCATGTTCGGGCAGTAAACATGTTCATTTTCGGTAGGTGAATGTTCATGTTCGGTAGGTGAACATGTTCATTTTCGAACATGTTCATGTTCGGGCGGCAAACATGCTAATGAGCTGGGTGCCTTCTACACCATTAGAGCATGACATTATGACCTCATAGACTGTCTAGAAGTGTGGCAACCCAGATTCCATCAGTACATGCATTAGTCGGAGTGGCCAGTCGCCGATGCAACAGACAAAGTGGATGCAAACATTTTGACTGATTCTATATGTTCAGAATATTTTTGGCCTTGTTCATGTTGATATAGAGGGCAAACACGAATATCCATGTGTCTTGCTTGCAAATGTCTTGACGAGATCATAGCCATGCTCCCAACGGTACATCATCTATCTAGTACTTGTATACCTTTTGCAGACTGATCCGGTGCCTGGAACCGGCACCTAGGACCGGAAAGCAGCCGTCATCATCGGGGCGATTTGATAACCGGGCCCATCAATTGTTATGCGGTTTGATAACCCCGGTCGGCCACCTATGGTATGTTGAAGGGACTCGCTTATTAATGACATTGGGCGGTGTTCCATCCATCCAACGTTCAGGTTTCCAGATGGCTGCATCTTCTCCCCAGATGCCCTTGTCAGTGTTCACACCAGCCATATCAAGCAGGATCGTCGTTCCTTTAGGTACCGCGATCGATTGAACTGTTTTCCCGTTCAAACCAATGACAGGGCTTCCGAGAGGTAACACAGAGTCTGTCGCTGCTCTATCGGAATGGCTCAATTGTCGGACGTCATAGCTCAAGTAGATCACTTACTGCCGGGTGATCAGACGCACGACTGGATAGCTGCAGTTCGCGGTCATGAGCGTTTCGCTTTACAAGTAAGCTTGAGGCGTACACTCGTAGAGTCTCCTTGATGACGGCGTCGAGAAACGGCAATCCCATTAAGGTGTCGTGGTCCAGCTGAGTCGTAGCGAGTAACTCGTCTCTTAAGCGTGTTTGGACACCCGGGTTCTCGGATAACAAGTGCAAGACGCGCGACATGGTGGATCCGGTTGTGTCGGTGCCAGCCAGGAGGAACGTCGAGATATGGGCTATAATCTCGGCGTCCGGCACTCGCATCGCTGGATCAACTGCGGTATTGGCATTCACTGCTTGACAGTGAGCCTGGCTATTTCTCCGAAGGCGCAAGGAAAGATGTACCAAGATTTGACATGAGGCTCTTTCCGGCAGCGTTTTCCGAGGCCGGGTCGTACAGTTCATCGCTCGGCTGTTTCATTTCATCGAGGATCTGGGTCGAATATTGATGATGTATGTCGCTAATGGTGAGAAGCCGGTGCATCGTCGGCCAGGGCAAACACTGCCCAATCCATCTAAGCATATACGCAGGTACGTAGCGCATGAGTAATGGTAGCAGCGGCGCCAGATGCTGTACCCTCGAAAGCGTCGGGCTAAAGTCCGTGAATTCAATCTGGTTGCCGACAAACAAGAAGCACACACAAAAGGTCTTCAAGTGCCAAGACAAACTCGTCCATGTCGTCGTCAAGGGCGTGAAAACTGTGTCCAAATCCTACAATGCCGATGGTTTCTAGGCTGAGCTTTCCTAAGAGGGATAGCATATTCACAACCGTATCATCGCTGTGGCCTACTCGAGCGCTCATGAGACCCACAAACTATGAGGAAGTTGGATCAACGTGTTCTTGAAGCCACGACGAGTGACATGCCTTATGAGTAACGTCCTCAAAGAGTGGGAAGACACGTCGGACACTAGTCCTATTGAACACGGATTCGACAAGCCTCCGTTGAGACTTGTGATGGTCACCTAGTGTACATGAGGTATTGTATACTGCACAAACAGATAGTGAGTACTGACCATTGGTTGAGAGGAGACCCGGGCCGTGCGTGACAAAACTCAGGCTGAAGAGCGGTGTTAGCACAGGTATGGGATGCCCGACAGAGTCATATCGCTTACGCCACAAAGAAGTCCTCGTACTCATAAACGGCACTTTCTTCGATCAAGATGTTCCAAATGGCTCGCGTGTCCGTGACGAATAGCTGGCTATCCTAATGGAAGTTTGAAAGCCAAGTATCAGCCCAGTTGTATGAAGATTATGGACGTAATTTCTGCGTACACCACAAAAGCCTCGCACGTGCACTACGCGTCCGTAGAGGTGGGTGATTCGGGATCGAAATATGCTAGCAGTTGGGCCAAATATCCGTCTTAAATGACCTATGGGCGAGTCAGCTTAAAGCCGAGTGATAGTCATTACCCCCCACTTGCCAGTAAAGAAGGAAGCGTTCGGGGGTCCCGGTATGTTTCTGAGCTCGCGCATCGTTTTTCGCTGACGCCTGACCCGACGAAGGGTGAGAAGGCAGCCCGCAAAGGCGACTATCACCGTGGACAGTATGGGGAAGGAGGTAGTCATGTCGAGCGCAACGCAAAGATCGACAAGGCCGTCGAGAAATCGACAATCACTGGGTCGTCTGCAAGAGAGCGGGATCACATCCAGCGTACTTATATTTCCGATCGCCTGCCGTTGTCTTGCCAAGTGTGTTCGAAGTGAGCGGACTTAATCTCACGCATCCGCCCAAATTAGGAAGGTTGTCTCAGATGCGTCTGCTCGTCGCCGTTGTGGGGGCGTAGGCCGCCCCCACACCCCCTGCCCCGTAGTCTCGGTCTGGCACAGGTGAATTCAAGTCTTACTATTAGTTCTGCGAATTTCCGGGGGCGTCAGCCGCCCCCGGACCCCCTGCCGGCTCAGTTCTAGCAAGTGCTTATCCATTAATATAATGTTGCAGTACTCGCACTTGAATTATGCTCATTCCAGTAAATATTTAATTGCCGCTTACATCTGGCCGCCGGAGCCATGCTTTGGCCTCATACCTCGCCCAATAGCATGTTCCTACTCACCAGCTGTCATCGGCCAACGAAATATTTAATTCCATTTCACATAATTCTTCGCGCTTCGATGGGGGCGTGCCGCCCCCATACCCCCTGCTCCGTCGCTTCGCGATGAGTGTTCATGAGCAAGGCATTTATTTCAATAAATCAGGGATTAATAAGAATTAATAAGAAAAATGAATGGACATGGACTGTCACTAGGAAAAACATGGAGAAGTGACTGATTTAGGTTTAATGGATAGTCAACGTGTGTGGAATGGGAGTAGGACGAGGAAGGTGCGGGGGGAGGGGGCGACAGGCCCGGGAAGGATCATATTGCGCGGCGAGCTCGGTTCGAAGCGCGGTGAACGCTGGTGAACGACGTACATGTTCATTCGAGTTTCTGAAAGAGTGATTAGTGCTAGTGCGACGTCGAAGCGACTGCGACGCACCTGTGGTTCGTAGCCGCGGGGCGGGGATGATGGTGGTTGGGGAGCAACAAGCGATAGGGGCGTCAGCCCCTAGATTTCGGGAATTTGAGGTATTCAGGCTGGACTGGACTGACCACGACGACGTCGGGACGGGGCGGGCTGGATTCCTATATGCATCCGGCTCTTTCCTAATCGGGGTGGATGCGTGAGACTAAGGTTCACCTGATCAATCGACAATCACTGGGTCGTCTGCAAGAGAGCGGGATCACATCCAGCGTACTTATATTTCCGATCGCCTGCCGTTGTCTTGCCAAGTGTGTTCGAAGTGCCCGACGTCATCAAGCACTGGAACAAGTATGTTGAGAGACCACGTCACCCCTTCCGGAAATGGCCTCATTCCAGCCTCTGCGATGGGTGCAATACTCCTTCCAGTAAAAGAATGAGATTTTCCCTTCTCAACAAGCGATATCAGAATACGTTCTGAGGAATTCTCGGGAAGGACGGGTCAAAGCTTGAGGGAACAACATTCGATGTTCGCGACCCTGACAGACGAGGGACGCTTCAGCGATGTTCCCAGGAGAAAGAGCGGACAAGAATCAGACGATGGGGTGCGTATAATCGGCTTGTACATAGGCGCTCAGCGATGGGCCATAAGCGCATAAGCACGGTGTGGGGGTTGGAGGGACAAGCAGTGTGTAGCGCCTTGTAGCGCGCGACGCGCGTGTTCGGGTGAACGGGTCACCACGTGGTATGCGCGACCGGAGGTGCCAGCGGCAATCTCCTGCTTCTCCCGCTTTCGTGCTATGTAGCGCTGGCGATGTACGATCCCAAGTTCGAAGGTAGCGTAGCCTGTGAGTTCATTGCTACAGGAACAAGCGCGGCTATACACTATACTGGCGCGGAAAAAGGTAACGGGCTCCCACTCGTGCGTTTCTCAAGTTCCGCTTTCCCTGCTAGTGACCCGGCGCATGTCCATGTGGCTACGCAGTAAACACGGACCAATAGAGTGCCTGTGAACGTCGAGGCTTTCACTGGCGTAGGCTGAGAATTCATGGCGGATAGTTTGCCCTGGCCCAAAACTTGACTACCAGGCTCTACTCGGATAGTTGATATCGGCATAGATTCATCAGACGAGAGGTCAATGTGTGGTTCTGATAGATACTTCAGGAAGGGAAAGGCCAGGGAGCCGATCGGAATCTACAGCCATCCAACTGTAGGCTCATAGCGTGAGTTTTGCACTGTCGCCGGCAACGCTCGCCTCCTCGGCCCATGACTCCAATAGGACCTTCGCATCTTCGGAACGAGGGCAAATGTCGCAAGGGAATGGTTTGGGATGACTATGACGTACTGTGAGAACGAGAATGCTCCGTCCATAAGTAGTAGTTGGCACTTACCACACAGTGCCGGAAACGAACTCGGGCTGTGGTACGATTTCCCCTGCATCACTGCGTGCTTTGCGTATATCGACCACCGCAAGCGTAGCGGCCATGAAGAACAGACAGGATCTACGCGCTAGTTCGATGCCCGGGCATCGTCGCTTCCCAAAACCGAAGACAAATGTGTGAGGGTCTAGTTCGGAAGACGGGCCAAGGAACCTCCCAGGACTAAAGACCGTCGGCTGCGGGTACATGTCTGGGTTGTTGGCGATGTTCCTGTATTTGGTTCTCATTACTCGGAACCTAGTGGCCGCTCGGATGGCGTGCTCACCATAGATTGGCTAGAACAATGGAACCCTTCGGGATGTGGTATCCCTCGTAGATGTCATCTCGTGTAGTCATGTGAGGCAAATCTAGATGCATTCCCGTTAACGACCACTAGCAATGCAGACTAATTGAAACTTACTAAGACAGGCCACAGTATGCCAGCGCAAAACCTCCTTGAACACAGCTTGCAGATAGGGTAGCTGTTCAAGTTCTGGGGCCGTAGGGAGCCGACACCTCCCAAGTACCCCGTCAAGCTCTGCTTGAGCTCGACGCTGAACATCGGGATACAAGAGCATCGCGAGAAAGAACGTGCCCAGCGTAGCAGAAACCTGAACACACCAAAGTCAGATGTAGTCCGTTGGTTGAAACCATGAATCGGAGGTACGGTATCCTGCCCACCGGCGTACAATGAAGTGGCGATATAAGGGTATATCTCGTCCTCCAAGGGAGTGCGTTCGCTCTCAAGGATATGAGATGTGAAACAGGGTTGCCCTCCCTTGCTTTCCTATGATGTCCCGTCACCTCTTGATCGATAGAGTAGAGAGACTCGTGGCCCTTACCAGTTGTTCCTTCACAAATTGGATTGGCACCGTCGTTTGACTTGTGCATGTCTTGTTCAAGCGTGAGGCGATTCTCTTGAACTGTGCGCCTGGGAACCATTGCGGCAAATACTCAACTGCTTGATACATCAGTACGCTCCGGCGCTGGAGATGTATGCCCAATGCCCACGCACGCCAGGGGAACATATCAACAAGCCAAACGCCGGGCGCGGCTGCGATGTAGAATTCCGCCGCAGCCTTTTCGATGAGAGATATCAGAGGATCAGGAGATTCCCGCTCGATGTTGTACCCGTGAGTGATCTTCAGAAACATCGCAGAGAGAGCACTGTCTTGTCACGTCGGTTCGTGTTCTCCGGAAGGCCGTCGAAAGTAGGACCACGTACAGCCTGATGTGTTGCAAGATATGCTCAGAGTCGTCAGTTGCAGCAACTAGAAAATGTCGAGCTTCTTTCTCTTGCATGTCGTAGTACTCCGATACCGTCTCGCGCGTGCCGATGTGCCTTACAAACATCTTGCGCATAGCTTTGTGCCGCTCGCCATCTTCGCATAAGATCAACTGGCGATCCCATCCCACCCTGGCGCTGGCAGTCAGACGAGAATCGCAGTCAAGGTACGAACTCACATCTTCCCCGCAAAGTGAAGTTTCGGCCTCCCTGAATATATCCCGGAGCGCTTGTCCAACAGGTTGACACAGGCCTCGATCGTATTAAGAATGACAATCGGCTGACCCAGAACGTTCACAGAAACGATAGGACCTAAGGCCGAATGAATGAGAGTGTTGACATGTCGTAATCCCATAAGAGCTTACCGTGGCGCTCGCCCAGCTTTGCATAATACAGCCACTCGTACTTGCTCGGCATCGACAGCAGATTCCCGATGATTGGGTGACCGACGGGCCCGGGAGGCATGCGACCTCGGCGTATCATGTGCCAATAGAAGACGCAGAGTATGGATAGACTAAGCGAGAGGGCCTGCCACCAAGAGAGGCTTGGAAGGCCAAATAGATGGGCATTCGCCTGGGAAGACATCGAACTATGCGAGCGTCTGAGGGTCTGAGGGTAATCCGTACGGTGACTGTGTGGAAATACCACGGCGAGGGTCTGTAGCGTGAGCTGGAAAGGAGAACGCACGTCTACCGCACTTTTAAAAGGGAAGTCGTGTCTGATATCGTACGTGCACCGTGGCGACATATGTCACACTGATCAAGGTAGGCGAGGTACGGATCAACGAACTATCCTCGCAAGCGCGCGCCATGTATATTATGCCCAAACGGAGCTTGGGTCTCACACCGTCGCCACCATGCTTAACCCCACTGGTCATGGACCTGACGCGCGGCAACAGGAGGACGGGTGACACAAACGACCGCGTCCGCTGGGCAAGAGGAAGGTGGCTGTCTTTTGAAAGCCGAGCAAACCACGTGGTGACTAGTGCTTGGGGAGTGTGCGGCGTGTGAATCTGACGGACACCCTAACCTTACTCTCAATGCTCATGGTCCGGCGCCCATACGAGTGACCGAGCATGACCGACCTCCAATACCGCCTGATTTAAACTCACCTGTCAACTCAGGCTGCGGCCCCGTCGCCTCAGGACGTCCGAGAGTACGAAGTTGTCGCGCTCGAAGAACAACAGCAGCAGCGTCCCGATCGCCCAGGGTAGTTTGCCGCAGAATTGATCGCAGCTTGGCAAGGCGCTGGTACCGGTATCGATGGGGGCGAGAGGAGTTCTAGTCGAAACTTCAGGGTGTGATGAAGAGTGGGCACTGTTGCGCTTGGAATCTGTGACGTAGCGGAAGCCGTTACGCAAGGGCAGGGCAGACGAGGAAGGGCGAGTGAGAACGAGGATGTGCTGCTTGCGATGTGGCGACAGCAACGGCGGAGGGGTTGTTGAGACCGGACCTTCCCTCCTCCTCTGATTTCTTCTCCGCCTCACTATCAATCCGGGTGCGCATCTCGCCTACGCTCGCTTGCTACGCCACGCATCTCATCTCGGGGATGGAGTCACCCTCCTGCTCCTCTCTCGGCCGCTGTCCCGACGTACACCCACGGTTCAACATCGCCAATAATCCGCGCGTCGTCGCATACAGCATAGTAGTCTCCCTTCCCTCTTTGATCTCTCTACCGAGCTGTTCCTCCTTCACTGTCAACCTTTCGACCATACCTATTACCTTGATTCCTGACACGGACCAGACCTACCCTCCCAAGCACTCGACTGTACATGATAAGGACCGGTCCTTGTACCGTAGATCAAGAACGATTGGATATAATGTCATGACTGCAGCAAGGCCATTTCCGACAGATAAGATCGAAAAGTTAATGCCGTTTGCTCATGATTGTAACTATTCTCAATCACGTTGGCGGACCCCAGGTGAGCGGTATCTTGGCCGGCCTCGAGAAAAGATTAGCCAATATACCGTCCTTTCCAAAAGCTTGGAACCACTCTGTCGCGATCGCGCGCGATCGCGAAGGGCTTGTTTCCACGTCTTGTCAAGTCTGCGAAAGGATAGACGAGAAAGTCAGACAGTTCTTGCTTCCTGTTGGCTTGGCTAGCACTGATTTGACGCAGTGCAGACTCGTAGATTTCGATGCGAAACGACGGGATTGTGGCGACCTCGTTGAGCAGCCGTCGAGAACAAAAAATGACAATCCATTGCGACTACTAATATACAAGGCGGGATGGGCTACCCGGGGCTAGCGGTCGTTGTGTCGTCACTGAGTCCAACTTGAGCTTGAGGCGCGTCGGCGTCGCGTTTGTTACGGCAATTCGGCCCGATGCCTTCGCAATCGCGCGGCCCATTGATATGGTGGTTGTTCTTGTCCTCCACTGTGCTCGAACTTGACATCATGGGACATCTGATTACTCTTGCAACGTGCGTGTGGATGTAACAGCTCGGCGCTGCACACGCTAACTCGCCGTAACAGCTGGTGCGATTATAGGCTGTGATCCTGCGCGCACCAATGCTCACGTCCTACCAGTTCGCTCAACCAATGGGCACTTGATTTTCAGGTTCGTGGTGTAGCTTGACCTGTCATACGTCTCTGTATGCTCATAGCTACCCTTAGGGAAATTATGAGCGCATCATCGAGAGCATCCGTATAGCGAAGGAGCGGGGTGCAACACTACGCGTTGGACCAGAGCTTGAGATTCCGTGCGTTCTCTATAGGATCGACTTACATGATGCTGATCAATAACAGGGGTTATGGATGCTTGGACCATTTTCTTGAGGGTGCGTCAGGATAAGATCCCTAGACGTTTGGCTAAGTAGATCATGAAGGTGATACCGTTCTGCACTCTTGGGAGGTCCTCGCGAAGATATTGGCCCACGACGTTGCGGTGGACATTATGTGCGACATCGGAATGTCAGCACAAAAGTTCTTCACCCTATTGTCAACTGATGGAATACCTATCATGCGTTCACTAGGCCCGTCGTGCACAAGAACGTTACATATAACTGCCGTGTCATCATCCACAATCGCAAGATCATACTCATACGTCCGAAGATGTGGCTTGCAAATGATGGGAACTACCGTGAACTCCGTCATTTCACCGCGTGGGCCAAGCACCACGAGTGGGAAGACCACTATCTCCCTCGTATCATTCAGGCCGTCACAGAACAAGTCAAGGTCCCATTCGGGGACTGTGTCATCAGCACGCACGATACATGCGTAGGAGTCGAGCTCTGCGAGGAGCTCTTCACGCCAGCTAGCCCACACATCCTCATGGGCCTCGACGGCGTCGAGATCTTCACGAACTCGAGTGGAAGCCACCATGAACTGCGCAAACTCAATACGCGTGTCGATCTTATCAAGGAAGCCACTCAGAAGGTTCGATTTCGTACAACTCAACGCTCGTATGCGTGCGCTGACTATGCACTCTAGCTTGGAGGTGTTTACCTATATGCGAATCAACAGGGTTGCGATGGAGACCGTCTGTATTATGATGGATGCGCTATGATAGCCCTCAACGGGAAGGTCATCGCGCAAGGCTCTCAATTCAGTTTGAGCGACGTTGAAGTGGTCTCTGCGACCATCGATATAGAAGATGTGCGCGCACACAGATCGCATAGTTCTCGCGGTACCCAGGCCGCTCAAGCGAAGCGGTACCATCGCATCGAGGCGCCCATCGCACTGAGCCCTGGGAAATTTGAAGAGATACTGGATCTGAACCGCCCACATCCCGCAGACTTCGAAGTTCGCTACCATCGGCCAGAGGAGGAGATCGCTCTCGGGCCTGCAAGCTGGCTTTGGGACTATCTGCGTCGGAGTAGGACTCAGGGGTACTTCCTTCCCTTGAGTGGTGGTATCGACAGTTGCGCGACTGCTACGATCGTGTTTTCTATGTGTAGACTAGTAGCAGACGCAGCTCGACGAGGAGGTAAGGGGTCTTGCCAATCGGATACCTACGTACTCAATCAATGTTGTTCACAGATGCGAACGTCATCGCCGATGCCCGCCGTATCGCCGGGGAGCCCGAGGATTCCACCTACATGCCAACAGACCCACGGGAATTCTGCAGCCGCATCTTCCATACATGCTATATGGGCACAGAGAATTCATCCAAGGAAACGCGACAGAGGGCGCGGCAGCTCGCTGAGGACATCGGCGCTTATCATACAGACTTGAACATGGACTCATTAGTCACCGCCGTGCGAGAGCTCTTCGCATTTGTGACAGGCCAGCGTCCGCGCTTCCGCGTCCACGGAGGGACGTCGGCGGAGAACCTAGCGTTGCAGAACATACAAGCTCGTCTGCGCATGGTTGTAGCTTATCTCTTCGCCCAGCTTCTTCCGTGGGTCCGTGGGCGCGTCGGTGGCTTGCTGGTGCTCGGATCCGCCAATGTGGACGAGAGGTGAATCTCTTACATTGCTGTAGTTCGCCATCGCTAACTCTTGCTTGTAGTCTACGAGGCTATCTCACGAAGTATGACTGCTCTTCCGCAGACCTGAACCCAATCGGCGCCATCTCCAAAACAGATCTGAAGAAGTTCATAGCCTACGCCGAGACAGAGTTCTCCCTACCCATACTGCACTCGTTCTTGACCGCCGTCCCCACCGCGGAGCTCGAACCAATCAGCGAGACATACGTGCAGGCGGATGAAGCGGACATGGGGATGACCTATGACGAGCTGAGCGTATTCGGCCGCCTCAGGAAGGTCGACAAGTGTGGGCCGTACAGCATGTTCACCAAACTGGTACACGAATGGGGAAGCTACCTTTCTCCGACACAAATTGCGGACAAGGTCAAGCACTTCTATTTTGAATACGCCCGCAACCGGCACAAGATGACAACACTGACGCCCAGCTACCATGCGGAGAGCTATAGTCCAGACGATAATCGTGCGTGCATTGGATTGTCCTTGCGTATGTAGAGGAGCTGATCCGGCCTAGGCTTTGATTTGCGCCCCTTCCTTTACCCTGCACGCTTCCCGTGGCAATTCAAGAAGATTGACGACGTAGCTGCCGCGTTACCCGACCGATCACACACGGTGCAGAAGACGAAGACAGACTGATGCGATATTATAATGTACAGTCGCACGTAGTTGGGTATCAAATGTACAATCTGCGGCTTGATCAATCTTGTGTAGACCAGAGGACTGGAGCTCGACAAACTCACGTAGCGAAAAAGTCCAAAGCTGTAGCGTACATGTTACGCATTAGATAACGAGTACAAATGGTCGTCATGACGACCTTCTACTGGGTAACACCACCGGCACGGAGAAGGCGAGAGAACGTCCCCTCTATAGTAATCTTTCGCATGATGGTCGGCTCTTCCGCTGCAACTGCAAGTCAGCCAGAGTCGGTATAACAAGGATACCCACTTACGATCAACGATGTTTTCTTCCTTCACCTTTCGTCGTATACTCTCCATAACCTCATTCGCGGCGGTGCGGTCGAGGTCTCCTCGCGCGCGTACGACGGCCTCTACGAATGGCAAGTTGGGCCCGTGCACTTTCGCGAAGTTCCAGAAGGAGAGGAATACGAAGCTCTTGCTAGCCTCGAGCAGTGCGAGTATCATCTCAAGCACCTCGAAATACGCCTCGAGCTCTTTGGAGTTCTTGACGGCCCCGAAGACGCGGAATGCCTCAGTGATGTCTTCGCGCATGCGCTCCGTGGCATCCGGCATTCGTAACTTCGGCGCGTTCGCAAGTGCTTTCAGATAGACGACAAGGAAAGCGTCGAGTAGATCCTCAATCAAGAGGTCGAATAGCGCAGGATTGAGGTACACCTGGAAGTCGCCCAGGTAGTCGCGCAACGTGAGACCGATCTGGTTCATGGCGCCTTCGTACCAACCGGGCTGTTGGAAGAGTTTACGCGTAGCCGGTTTGAGATCGTTCCAAATGATGTCGATCAAGGCCTGCGTGCACTTCTTCGCAACGTCCAAGTAGCCATCGATGGCGTCGTTGAGCGCAGTGGAGATCTGCACCCGATACTTCTCGCTGACGAGGGGCTCAATGCGAGCAGAAAGCGCCTCGGCGAAGTCCGCCGACCGGATTTGATCGTTAGCGAGCGCCATGAGATACTCAACGAGCCCCCCTGCGGCCTCGTCCGGCGTCTGCGTGTGCTTCTTCAGCTCAGCATCGACGAGTTTGGTCCATTGCGACTGAACGTCGCGCATCACGCGACTGACATCTTCGACTACGCGCGCCAGGATCATCCCCTGCCCACTCTCCGTTGCAGCGTCGATCTGCTGATTGACCATCTGGAAAAGGATGACTGCGCCCTGCATACCGTATTGACCATCCCCATCGACTTCGGGAGGCTCCTCGCGTTTGGTAAAGCCATCGACCTCGTCGCGCATAAGGTTGACGGTCCATTCGTCCAGCTTGCGTACCAGCAACTGAAGATAGTCATCGATCAACGCCTGCTCCTTTCCATCCAACAAAGGTGGCTCTAGTAGCTCCGAAGGCACTTCTAGATCGGCCATATCTTTCTTGTACTGCTTGACCCAAGCATGCAAGGTGAGAATGACGGACGCCTCGGGTTCCGACTCGACAATCCGCTTGAGCGTCGCATTGAGCGTCTGATGATAGTGCTTCACAAAGTGCGAATATATGTCCCAGTCGGGAGGGAAACACGGCGCGACCTTGTTCTGGACAGCGATGAGGTCTTTGTATATCCACTCCGCGAGTTCATCAAGGAAGCCGGCGGGGTTGTTTGCCTGCTCCTGGTAAGCGGCCTCGAACTTGTCGCGGATGGAGTCCACGACCGTGCGCATGATCTTCGAACGGTAGTGTTTGATCACACGCGCGTTGGCTTGCATCGACCTGAACTTCGAGGCAGCGTCCATCTTCGCAGCTTTCTTGACAAGCTTGATCGCGATGGCCTGTAGAGGGTATTAGGCTGACGGAGCAGACGTGTAATGGAGGAATGGTCACCTTTTCATCCTCACGACCTTCTATCTCCGCGATCTTGGTGAGCTTGACCAGCGTCATAGGGAACTTTGCGCGAGCGATAGGAAGAATGTTACGAGCGAGCTCAAGGATGTACTCGTCAAAGGCCTCAATCACAGCGACGAGGCGCTCGAACATGCGGCGTAGGGTCTCCTGACTTCGCGCAGACGACTTCTTCGCCTGGTGCATAGTCTGATTGCGAAAAGCCTCAAGCTGTGTGAGCTGGTGGTGGATCGCTAGGAGGTTGGGTGCGGGTCCCACAATCTCCTCGGAGTCTGCGGCCAACATCGCCTCCAGCGTATCAAGGCGCGCGTTCATCTCCAGCAGATTATGCACCATCTCCTCTGTCTGCTCAAAATTCCGATGTACCATGGAGACCTAGGACCATGATGAATATTCATGCCGTGCGCCACATGGCCCGTGGTTACACACTCTGGAGATCTGGTCGAACGTTGAGACTGCATGCTGAGGATCCGAAGCTAGACGATCGATGGCGAGCATCTCATCTCGTATGCTCTGTACTGAGTCGCGCGTTCCGAAGAGCTTGCGCAGGGAGTCTTTTGTCAGGTCCAGCTGCTCGCGTACACCCGCTTTCAGCCGCGTGTCGATGGACGCCTTTTCCTTCTCTAGCTTTTTTCGGAAGGCCGCAATCTTTAATAAGTCATCTGGAGACTGCAGGTACTCGCCGACCGCTTGCGCGGCGGACGCAGTCGGCGCGGACATGGTGGTAGAAGACAAGACGCTCGAAGTCTCGTTCCTGCGTGAGACCTCGGCGCACACACGCGCAGCCACGACGCGGTCACACCACTCTCCGCGACCTCCATCATGTCATTACGCGCTTCGTGGCGTGTATCAATACAGTTAGCACGGACCTTCAGGTTGCGTACATATGCTACTGTAGCTGCTGAAGGCGAATCTAAACTCAATTGCGACGTGGTCATTGTGGGCGGAGGCCCTGCCGGACTCGCGCTCGCCAGCGCTCTAGGTCGAATTTATGTCTCGTGTAGCATTCCTCGCGCTGACTTGGCCGGCAGCTTCTTCTCCCCATGTCAAAGGCGGACTGGAAGTGGCGATTGTGGAGGCGGGAGACTTGTCAAAGATCCGCGAGTGGCAATTGCCCGCGGACGCGTATTCAAACCGTGTTAGCTCTCTCACCAACACCTCCGAGGACTTTCTGAAGCGTACGTCTATTTTGCACGTTTAGTGTAACTGTGCTGATTACAGTTCAGGCACTGGTATCTGGCGTCACGTTGCGCAAGAGCGCACTGCCCCCCTGGAAGATATGCAAGTGCGAGTACAAACATCCGCTCTTTAGTACACGTTCTGAACGAACATCCATAGGTTTGGGACGGCGTCTCTGATGCGCGCATCGAGTTTAGCGCCCATGGACTCGGAATTGGCTCCAGCTCTCCTACAGAAGCGCCCTACATGGCACGCATGACTGAGAACCTCAACTTGCAGAGGGCAGCGATACACCATCTGGATGAACACCCTTTCATACGTATCCTTGACAAGACTAAGGTCGAATCAATATCGAACGACGGAGATGGCGGTGACTGGCCCTTGGTACACTTGTCCAGCGGACAAGTCCTTCGTGCTAGACTCCTGGTACGGCCTACTCCGTCGTAACACAATCACCGTCTCACACTTATCAGGTCGGTGCCGACGGCTTCAATTCCCCTGTCCGCGCTTTCGCAGGCATCAAGTCGTACGGCTGGGCATATCCGACGCAAGCAATTGTGGCAACGCTGCGACATGCACCTCGCACTGTGGGGTATAACACGACAGCGTACCAACGCTTTCTACCTACGGGCCCTATCGCCTTCCTACCATTAGCCCCGACCGTCTCGTCCTTAGTCTGGTCCACTCGTCCATCGCTTGCGGCCGCACTCTCTAAAGCCGACCCAGCGGTACTTGTGCATATGATCAACGCCGCCTTTCGCCTTCCAGAGATCTCGATGCGATACCTCCACGATAGGGTGGAGGAGACTGTGCAAACCGGGAAACCCTTGCAAGCAGATGGCTTCAGAAAAGAGATCGCCTGGAGGGAGAGCGCGCATCAGATTGCGTCGCACTCGTCGTTGGCTTCAGCAACCGTTGATCCTTCATCTGTGAGCCAAGGCATCCCAGCTGCAGACGCAGATATGGTTCCACCATTGGTCCATAGTATACAACCTGGCACAGCCGCATCTTTTCCGCTCCGCTTTAGCCACTGCGAAACGTACATAGGCGAAGGGAAGGGCGCGCGCACAGTGCTCGTGGGCGATGCTGCTCACACGGTCCACCCGCTCGCTGGCCAAGGCCTGAACGGGGGACTATCCGACGTGGAGTGCCTCGCACGCTGTATTGAGACTACCCTCTCTGCTGGTGGTGACATTGGTGAGCCCAGGACTAGTCCCATGCCTACTCTACATCAAGCTGATGACTTATCGCAGGTTCTCACACTGCACTCCAACCTTACGCCCGTGAGCGCTACATTCAGAATCATTCGATGCTCTCCGCCGTCGACAAGCTGCACAAACTATACAGCAGCCAACTTCCACCTGTTGTATGGGCGCGATCTGTCGGCGTCGAAGTCCTGAATGAGCTCGATACACTCAAGGCTGCTCTGATGTTCGGTGCTGGTACCGAGCGCGGGTCAACGAGCTCCGGCACAATGGGCTGGAACATGTTCGCTTCTGGCTTGGAGAGCGTGGGGACTGGCGTACGAGTCGCGCGTGCGGTCGGTGAAGGCCTGCAAGGTGTTACTGCGAATATCTTGAAGCAGGCGGCCGGTGTTCTTCGTCAACGAGGGTCGTGAGAAGGCAGTGTCCCCGCCTTGCGGCGCATCATCCCACTATACATTTCTACCTCCTGCACCCGATATGAATGCTATCTTGATCAACTCATCTGCGTTCATGTGTGTTGTCATCGGCACGCGATGTCACTTCGGATGAAAAGAATCGGAGCCAGGTATGTATTCTAGGAACCCATACTGTGGGCGGACATTCGATGCTTGGTACTCTACATGCAGTGACATTAATGAGTCTATTTTCCATGATTCCCTCGACTTGGCACAATTCTTCATGCGGAATCGCAGATCGTCGATGTCAGCGTTCACTCTACATGATACTTCACACCTAACGGCATGCGTGGATTGAATCCGTTCTCGCCCTTAACGCTCGGGGTGATGGCCTCTCCAAATCGCCATTCGATATCGCAATCCGTCGGCAACGTGAAAGTGAAAGTGGGAAGGACAGTTGCAAGGACAGTTTCTGATAGACCGGGATGCATTCAGGTCTTCACAAGAGAGATTTTTTCTAAACGTACTCATCTCAAGGAGTGCGAAGTTGACCCCTCTGCGATCCCCAGGTCAGCGGTCTGCACGAAGCGCAGGGTAAAAGACATTACATGCAAGCTTTCGGGCCCGCCAGGAATGTCAGCCTTACGTACGAGGACATTCAGACTGTTAGTGAATATCCTAACACAAAACGGGTGCCACTTACAGGTTGGAATACACGCCGGGGACATTAGACTCGCTTACAGACTGCGGCAATGGCTTCATCCAACGTCCGGGCCTCCAGATCTTGGCGTCCGGTCCCCATATCTTGATGTCAGTATTGATACCGTGGATATTGGTTAGAATCTCAGCGCCGGCAGGTATGTACAACACCCTCCCATCGCTGAGAGGGAGTAGGTCGCCCTCGATGCACCTAATGACGGTAGCGTTGAGCAAGTAAGTTATCCATCCTGTCTATCACGAAAGATGGGGCCCTGACCTGCGGCGGCGGTACGGAGCGGGCGGGAATACGCGAAGAGTCTCTTTACAGACCGCATCGAGAAAGGGCAGGGCCATCAGAGCCTCATATTGTAACCCAACTCCATCTCCATGTCCTTCCGCGGAGGCGAGGGCTTGCAAGATTTCCTCGCGAAGTTTAGCTTGCACGGACGGATGCATCGCAAGTGAGTACAGAATGCGGCAAAGTGCTGTACTTGTCGTCTCAGTCCCTGCAAACATCAGTGTAATTGCCTGAGCCGTCAGCTCTCGGTCGGACACGCTTCCGTCCTCGTTGGCATCAACTGAATCGTGTCATAAGTAATTTGTGCACATCTTGATTGCAGATACGCACGCAATGCTCCAAGTAGTAGGTCTTTCCTCTCTTTGCTACTTGTACGGGTGACTTTGTGTGTTTCCCAGGCTGAGCGTATTTCGTCGTGTATGACGTCGATGATATGCATTAGATGGCGAAGATCAGGAGATACAAGGGACATCGCGATCCCCAGCAGACGGAGCAAACGAGGCGGTAAACGGAGAGCACCGCTGATGGCAAATAACGGGATGGCTGGACCGAGTTTGGAGACAGTGGGGCTACGTACAATGTCAACAGGATAACGGGACTAGACACAAAACACGCACGTGAAATCCTTGAATGCACGGGCACACTTGTCCCCTGCGCCTTCATCTGCAAGAGCACGAAAAGTATGACCGAAGCCCGCTTGCGTGACGACTTCGAGTGCAGCGCGCCCTAAGAAGTCGGCCAAGTTTATGTGACACACGCGGCCGTTTGCTGGCTTATGTTCAGTGACATATCGAGCGATGGACTCTCGTAGTTGACATGCTACGCCGTATATGAGAGGTGTAAGCCGTCGTATATGCGTGAGAGAGAATGCGGGGTTGAGAAGCTTGCGCTGACGACGGTGTTCGGGGCCATTGCTTGAAATCAAGCCTGGGCCCGTGAAGTACATGTGCATGCTACACCACTGATCAGACTCTGGAAGGGTAAGCGGCCTGATGATAGTGAAGAAAGACATTCACTCGAGTGTTCCAGATATGTCCACAGCTGGATACTTTTGGGGGTTCTTGACGAGTATATGCGCAAGAGCATAGGGATCAGAAATAGCTAAAAGAACATCCTGACACGACGAGTCAAGGGTTGCCTTGATCATCGCAAGATGAATATACCCCTAGTAGCCCATGGACTTTGGCGACTCCTCCGTATTCAGACAAGGCCTCGAGGTGATGTAGGCCGTCCTCCCCGTACAGATCTTGCAGATTGCCAGACAGAAAGGACTGGCTCTCTGGACCGCGTACATTGCGTAATGTCGTGCGCTTGGCGATTCGAGTAATGAGACCTCGCAGTATATTGACCATAAACGCGGCCACCAGCATAGCGACGAGTGCCAGGACCAATCGTGAGGTCGTCACAGTGACGTAGATGACCATGATGAGCCTATAAAATGATTGTACAGTGTGACTGACGCCTGGCCTCAGTCCGCGCTTTTCGGGCAATGTGAACAGCCTTTATGTATGCGAAGGCATATTTCTGACTAATTCACCTTTGACGCTCTTGCTGACAGAGATCCTCCATCTTCTAGCACTCCGAGCCCAAAGAAAGTAAGGACTGCGTCATTGACACTATGGTTTGTCTGCGGACATGACGGAATGACGCTTGGTACCGGAGTTGTACCGGAGTACACTCGCGGTCGATGCCTATCTGATTGACCGCGTAGGGACCACCCGTGACCAAGTGGGTAGCCATCATCGACGAAAGTAGGCGCTGCAAACGGGTCTTGTCTGATACTCAAGCACCGTAGAGTATGTCCCACGTCTGCGCAACAGCAGCTGACACACCGCGCCGGATACTGTAGACATTTAACAGCCGGCAATTGCTGATTTGCCGTCAACGAGACTTGAGCGCGTTCGTGGCTGTCGAGACTGTATGGCGGTCAGTTTGTTTCAAAATTAGGGGATCAATTACACACACCCCGCGCATTTCCAACCCCACCCGCCGCATTCCTAACTACACTCTGTGCATTCCTAACCGCACACACTGCGACTTCCCAACTCTACAGCCCTCTCGGGGAGGCCCGTCTCCCGAGGGCTGCCGGTCCCTCCCTCCTCCCGTCCCTCCCGTTCCGTGAGCGGCGCCGTAAAGCGCTCAAGAATAGCTCTCCAACGACGCCCATAAAGTGGTAAGAGCGGGAGGGAGCGGGAGGAGGTTGAGCGACGACGCGGCGGCCTCGGAGCTGCGGGCTCGGCTAACGCGCCCACGTGTTTTGCCGCGTGTGTCGCAGGACGCGTCGCGCTCGCCTCGTTCTCCTCTTTGCCATGTACACTACCTAGCTATGTACCTAGGGATTTTGTTCTTCGCTCTATGCCCATATAGTGTGATGAAAGGGCCTTCGGATACCCGAGTTGCACCGAATAAGGGCCTAAAACCCTGATTTCCAAGAGAAAATGAGTTCATATATTGACACTATCTTAGAGGTCCAACTATAGCTAATGTAGTGGAAGAGAATAAAGTATCGTAGGACGGTGGTCTAGACAGAGCATGCGAGCGCGACGCGTCCTGCGACACACGCGGCAAAACACGTGGGCGCGTTAGCCGAGCCCGCAGCTCCGAGGCCGCCGCGTCCTCGCCCAACCTCCTCCCGCTCCCTCCCGCTCTTACCACTTTATGGGCATCATTGGAGAGCTATTCTTGAGCGCTTTACAGCGCCGCTCACGGGACGGGAGGGACGGGAGGAGGGAGGGACCGGCAGCCCTCGGGAGACGGGCCTCCTCGAGAGGGCTGTAGAGTTAGGAAGTCGCAG